TGGGTTCATGGAGCTGGCAGGCTCCCCACATGTATCAGCTCCCACCTGCCCCCCCCTCATTCTCCACGTTGCTGTGTCTCTATCAGAGAGCAGTGGGGGGTGGGGGAGAAGAGAGAGAAGGTGGATTTGGTGCTCATGGGGAGCCTGCTTAAAGCCAGCTCCTCACAGGGACAGGCACCAGCTCCCGCTCCCTGCCCCCCAGCAGGAGGGGGGGGGGAGAGAGAATTGTGTGTAGTTGATAGGATTAACTGATAAACCCAGGTTTATCGGTTAATCGTGTACTCTACACGTTGACATCCCTACTTCCAACGTCAATGTTGATTTACTAAAAGTGAAGATTTGAATTATTTCTATGTTTCCTTCTTTCCCTTAATTACACAGAATAAGATCACGCTGTCCTAGAAGATGGCTCAAATAAATGACCATTAGTAGGATAAACCATCCACGTTCTAGGGTGAAATTCACCTCCGTGCAGAGTTCCACTTAAACCTGCAAAAGACAGCAGGCACAACACCTCCACACAGGGGTGAATTTCACATCCCCAAAAGAGACTCAATCAAAAGTAAACCTGATTTGAAGCAGAGCAAACCAACCTAAAAAGCTATCAGCTCCAATTAAAATCATTACCTGGAAGCAGTAAGGTAACCAGTCAAACACAGCTCATGCTCATTGGCAGTCATGGCAACATAATTTAGTACTCACCATACAGACAGTGTAGCAATAGTGGTGAGAGCCATGACGTAGGAACCTGTGCAACGTAAAGCTGAAATAGGCGAATGCAATATAATAGGCGGGAGAAGGCGACGACCGCAAGCTGAAAATACAGATAAGGTCCTCTTCTCACAGGCTACACTCACCACATCACTGAAAATGATAAAAGGGAAACATTTAAACTCAGTGAAATGAAAAAAGCAAGATCACTTGGGTTATCATACAAAAGGAAGTTACCTTGTGCAGTTACAACAGTTCTTCGAGATGTCTTCCCTCCCCCCCCCCATGGGTGCTCCACTGCTGGTGTCAGGCTCGTCCCGGTGCCACAGATCAGAGATCTTTCAAGCAGTATCTGGTCAGGCCGTGCATGCGGTCCGTGCCTTTGGAGTTCGCATGCACAGCCCCACCTCCCCTCAGCTTTCTTCATAACCGCCCAATTACGTGGAATAGATCCAAAGAAGAGGGGAAGGAAGGGTGAGTCGTGGAGCACCCACAGGGACACACATCTTGAAGAACTGTGGTTACTGCATAAGATGAGTAACTTCCCTTTCTTCTTCAAGTGATGTCCCCGTGGGTGCTCTACTGTTGGTGACTCTGTAGCAGTACACAAAGTGCAGTAGGTGGGCTTCGGATTAAGTGTTATGCAGAGATGCAAGGACCACCTGGGCTACAGCAGAGATCGTCTCCATTCGTGGGGCGATTGCATAGTATCTCGTAAAGGTGTGGTTGTACGACCATGTAGCTGCTGAACAGATCTCTGTAAGAGGGACTCCCGTCAGAAAGGCAGATGACGTACTACAGCCAGTGTGGAACGTACTGTCGGGGTTGTAGGAAAAGGTCCGTTTCACAGCAAGTAACATTGGGTAATACGCGATGTAATTATTTTGGAAATGTGCTATGAGGATAATGGTGTGTCCTGAGATTGTTCCGCAAGGGAGAGAAATAATGCTTGTGATTTGTGGAAGGGCCGTGTACGGTCTATATAGAATGCCAACGCCCTACGGCTGTCCAGTGTGTGTAATACTAACTCCTCGCGAGAAGCATGAGGCTTCAGGTGAAATTTGGGAAGAACAATAGGTTCGTTAATGTGACAATAGGTTCGTCAGTAGAAAGGAGGAATGGGGTCGGAGGACCACTCTGTCTTTATAAAACAGTGTAAGGTGGTGCTGCCATGAGAGCAGCAATTTTGCTCACTCGTCTCACTGACATGATCGCTATTAGAAACACTGTCTTTGTTGTTAGTAGGGAGAGCAAACGTGTCTAGAGGCTCAAATGGGGGTCTAGTCAGTGTGCTGAGCACAAGGTCCAGATCCCACGTGGGGGCTAAAGGCCTGCATGGGGATTAAGATTATGTAGTCCTCTAAGAAATCTCTTAGAGATCGGGTGCACAAATATCAAATATTCATCGATCAGAGGGTGGAAAGCCGCCAGTGAAGCAAGACGCACTCTGAGGGAGGAGAGTGATAGTCCTTGGTCTTTCAGATGCATGATGTAATCCAGGATCATATGGAGTGGAGTGGCAGTAGGCTGAGTATCGCTGTTGCTGCACCATGCTACAAAGCAGTTCCACTTTTGAAGGTAAGTCTTGCGTGTAGCCTGTCTTTTACTGTTAATCAGGACATTTCTCACCTGTTGTGAACAGCTCTTTTCCCTCTCCAAGAGCCAGAGAGAAACCATGCGGTCAGGTGTAGTGTTTCTGCCTGGGGGTGAAGAAGATTGCCTGCATCCTGGAATAGGAGATCTTGCCGACTTGGAAGCAGGTAAGGAGGTCAACGAGACATCCGATAAAGATAGGGAAACCAAGTCTGTCTGGCCCAGGCAGGGGCTATAGGATGACCCGGGTGCCATCCACCTCAATCTTCCTGAGTACTCTGGGTATAAGAGGAATCAGGGAATGCATGAGAGCCAAGCCTCCTATGTTATAAGGAAGGCATCTCCAAGGGATCCTGGTCCTATCCCCATCCTGGAACAATACTGGGGACACTTGAAATTCTGGTATGTTGCAAAAAGATCTACCATTGGAAATCCCTATCGATAAAACAGGGCATGCAGGACATCTGTATGAAGTTCCCATTCATGGTCTGTAATAAAATGACGGCTTAGAGCATCCACAGTTGCGTTGTTGACCCCTGCGATACACAATGCAATGAGGCTGATGTTGTTGCAGATGCACCAATTCCACAGGCACACAGCCTTCGCACAGAGGGATGGAGAGCGGGCACCCCCTTGGCAGTTGATGTAAAACATGGTGGTGGTATTGCCCATTAGAATGCGCACCGTAGAGCCGCGGATGTATTGAGTGAAGTACTTGCAAGCGTTGCTCATAGCACGCAGCTCCAGGAGGTTGATGTACCAGCGGGATCCATGAGCTGACCATCTGCCCTGAGCAAATTGGCCTTGCATGTACGTGCCCCACCCAAGGAGGGAAGTGTCTGTAGTGATCTGTGTAGAGGGCTGCATCTGGCAAAAGGGAACACCCAGAAGGTGTTTTTTTGGACTGGTCCACCACTTCAGGGAGGTGCAAACATTGGTGGGGACGGTCACCCACTTGTGCAGATGGTGCTTGGATGGGATATAAACTGAGGACAGCCAATGCTGAAGGCAGCAAAAGTGCAGGCGTGCATGTTGGACAACATAAGTCATGGCTGCCATGTGGCCCATAAGGCAGAGACAGGTTAATACAGTCACGGTAGGATTGGATGTTATGATTGTTATAAGGCTTGTTACGGCTTCAAAACGTCGAGTGGGGAGGTATGCTCTTTGCCGTGGTGAAAACCAGACAAGCTCCTATGAACTCTAGAGATTGCAGGGGACATAGGGTGGATTTTTTCTCATTTACGATGAGGCCAAGGGATTCGAATAGCCTCTTGGTAAACTGAATCATACGCTGAGTTGCATGTCGGGCCGGGCCTTAAATAAGACAGTCGTTGAGGTAGGGGGGGAAAAAAAAAATCAATCATAGAATACTAGGACTGGAAGGGACCTCGAGAGGTCATCGAGTCCAGTCCCCTGCCCTCATGGCAGGACCAAGTATCATCATTTTGGCAGGACCAAAATGATGATACCCCCGTGACGTAGATGCGCTGCTACCACGGCCAGGGTCTTTGAAAACACTCTGGGGACAGAAGAGAGTCCAAAGGGCAGGACTCGATACTGAAAATGTTCTGAGGTGACCGTAAAGTGGAGAAAACGTCTGTGGGTTGGGTGTATGGTTACATGGAAGTAAGCATCTTGGAGGTCGAGGGCTGCAAACCAGCCTCCCTCCTCTAGTGCCGGGATGATAGATGTAAGCGTAATCATCTTGAACCGTTGTTTGAGTAGGTATTTGTTTAGGCGGTGTAGGTCTAGGATGGGCCTCCAACCCTCAATCCTCTTTTCTGAAGGAAATAATTTGAGTAAAATCCCCTGCCCCAATATTGCTCGGGCACTGTCTCTATGGCACCTATGTATAGGAGGTGGTTCACCTCTTGACGTAGAAGTGATTTGTGAGAGGGGTCTCTGAAGAGAGACGGGGAGGGTGGGGGAAGTTGGGGACACTGAAATAAAGGGAATGGAATAGCTGCATTTTACCATCTCTAGGACCCAATGGTCTGTAGTTATTTGCTGCCCACTGGTCATAAAAAGGGCGTAGGCGATGATGGAAAGTCGCACGATCGTGAGGCACTGAAGGAATGGAGGGGTCGTGCTGGCTCTTGACCAAGCCCTCAAACTTGCTGCCTGGAGGACTGTTGGCTGGGTGCTCGATTGTTAGGGGCGCAGCTACGCTGGTTCCTTGCCCTGGATCAAGTCTGCTTGAAAGGTCTATTCTGCTGTCTGGTGTAGGAGAGGTCTCGGTCTCTGATCGGATGTATATAGTTTCCTATGGTACGGTGATGTGTACATTCCTAAAGTACGCAGTGTAGTGCGTGAGTCTTTACTTGAATGAAGGACTTCATCTGTCCTTGCTGCAAATAGCTTCTGCTTCTCAAATGGCAGGTCCTCAACTTTCACTTGCAGGTCTTTGGGAACACCTGCCGCCCATAACCACGAGGTACATCTCAACCACTGACGTAGCTGTTGCCCATGCTGCTGTATCAGCCGCATCCAATGCCATCTGCAGGGCGTTACGAGAGGTCATGTACCCCTCCTGGACTATGGACTTCAGGATCGGCCTCTTGTCAGCGAGATGTTGCATTAGCTTGGTCAGCTTGGCATAATTATCAAAATCATGATTGACTATCCGTAGTTGTAGTGTGGATGACAAGTACATTTTTCTGTATAATAGGTCCAAACGTTTGTGCCTTATACTGTGGATTTTTGGACCTTTGGTTTGCGATATGGATGACCAAAGAGTTAGGTTGTGGGTGAAGGAATAAGAAGTCCACGCCCTTCGATGGAACAAAATATTTTCTGTCCGCACGTTTATTATTAGGGGGAGCCAAGGCTGGTGTTTGCCATACTTTATCCGCCACCTCCATAATGGCTTCATCAATTGGGAGTGCGATCTTTGTTTTCGCAGATGGCTGTACGTTTTTCAAGAGCCTATGTTGTTTTCCCTTGCGCTGCTGATAGGTTGACCTCTTGACTAATGACAACTGTGACGGACCCAGCGGGGTCCGCACTGGGAGTTTCGGGCGGCTGCCCCGCCTGCCGTGGGGGGATCGCTCTAAAGCACCCACCCCACTTAGGGCCTCGGGCTGGGACCCGGTGGTGAGGGCGGGCCCGGGTCCCCCACTCCCCACACCCCGACCTCAGCGTAGGTCCTCAAGGCGGCAATAGCCGAACACTTACTACCCAACCTCCCCCCGCCGAGAGGGACCGAGAGGAAGGGACCAGGACTAGAGGGACGGCTCCAGAGCCCCGGCCGGGTCCCGGCCCGGGGCCGCCAGGGAAGGTACCGGACCGGGTCCGCCGAGCCCCCTCGGCCCCATACAGGGCGAGGGGTGATCGCACCCGGGACCAGACTCACTCATGGACCCCGGAGGACGGGATAACTGAACTCTCAAAGGCGGTGGGTTCGCGGAGCCCCACCCCACTCCGCCGGCCCCGGCCCGGGGTGCGGGCGGGAGCCATGAGCACAACAACCCTCTTGAAAAGATCCTGAAATTGTTTTAAATTGTGGGTGGGAGATGTATCGTCCAAGATGACCACCTCATCCGGTGAGGAAGATGAATTATCCATTGGAGAGGTTCCCGGTCGGTCGGGGTCAGCATTGCCAATGATCTGTCCTTTCTCAGTTTCCAAATCCTCCGTAGGAGGGGGAGGACTATAAACACGGGAGGCTGGTGCTGACCTACAGGCAAGTGTTGATGGCAGCAACGAACGATGTCTGGATGGTGCCCAGTGCATACACGGAGACCACAGAGATGAGTAATGTGTGAGGTAAGAGCATTTTGGATACCACAGAGAATAGTGAGAATAACGTGGTCGGTGGCGCTCATGGGGCATAGCTGGTCTAGCTGGGGAGGAGAATACACTCCTGCAATCATCCTCATAATCACTGTAATGTGAAAGGACCAGTGATCTCAGTGAACGAGGGATAGTCTGTCGCCATTCAGGGGTATCGCCTGTGAAAACCCTCTTGTGGTGACCTTGAACACTGTCTATCCCCCAGCACCGGGACATCATAACTGACTATAAGGAGGATGGTGGCAAGAAGAAGAATGCGCCAACAGTGTTGATGCAGGCCATGCTGCTGTAGAGGGCATCAGTGCTTGTGGAGAAGGCACCCGTTCCGGACTGGGAGAATGAGTCAAGGTGCTGGCGGATTTTGACTTCACTCTCGTCGGTGCTGGTGTTTTGGCTGGTACCTGTGGTGTATCCAGTGCTCATGTTGTGTCCAGTTCTTGGGCATCTGATGTCATCAGTGCCAGCGTGGTCAGTGCCAAGGGTTGCGGGGTTTTCTCTTTCGGCTCTGCAACCGGGGTCACCCGGTGCCAGAGGCGCCTGGCTTATCTCCCATGCTAATTCTGGGAGGTAGAGAGCAGGCTAGAGAAGCTCTGTTTTTTGCAGGTGGCAAAGATGAAGGTGAGCCTGTCTGTTTCCTTTGTTTAGCAGGGGTCTCTTGCTGAGTACTCCCCTCCTTGGCTGTCTGTGGCTCTAGTACTTTATCAAAAAGTAGCATCTGGAGTCTTAAGCTTCCTGTCCTTCCGGAACCTGACCATATGGCTGCAACAGTGAACGCACTTCTGAGGGACGTGTCTCTCTCTCCCACGCAGCAGATGCATAACCCGTGGCCATTCAATACTGGCATAGGGTCACGACATTTGTCGCACTTTTTGAATCCAGGAGAGCCAGGCATTTCAATAGGCTCTTATTCTTTTATTCACTATTACCATTAAGCCTTTATTTTTTTTATTTTTTTTGAGAGCGCGCGCCGATACGAGGCTTGGTTGTAGCTGCGTTGTCTCTTGACATTGTAAACTATTTACATGAGGAATAATTTTTTTTTTATTAAACAAATTCAAGAGAGAAATGATAACTATAATTTTAACAAACTAAAACTAATTTCTTATCTACAGGAATTCCAAGAGGAGGAGAGGATCAGATTCCATCTGCGAATGAGGGCAGTATGAGGAAAACTGAGGGGAGTTGGGTCGCACGTGTGAACTCCAAAAGGTGCGAACCGCATGCGCCCCGTACCGCACATGCGTGGCCCAACCAGATACTGCTTGAAAGATCTTCGATATGTGGTGCCGGGACAAGCCCGACACCGACAGTTGGAGCACCCATGGAGACATCACTTGGGGTATGTCTACACTAGCCCCCTAGTTCAAACTAGGGAGGTTAATGTAGGCATTCGAAGTTGCAAATCAAGACCGGGATTTAAATATCCTGGGCTTCATTTGCATCTTCCCGGCCGGTCGCCATTTTTGAAATTTACAAGTCCGGACTAACTGCCCGCGTCTACGCGCAGCAGGGACCCGGTATTTCGAAGTAAATAGTGCATGTTTAAAACATGGTGTTGGATAGCACTTCGATCAGTGAGGCAACACTTATGCTGTATAAAGAGCACGTCCTACCTCCTTCATTAAAGGGCATGTGAGATTTCAGCCTACATTTTACACACTTCTTATTTCTATCCTACTCTAAGGTATGCTTCAATCTAAACACTGGACAATGTACATTAATGATCAGGAATTTGCAGTTTCTGGTTATGGATGAAAGGACATGATGTGAAGGAGAGCTCTGATAACTGTACATAAAACTTTGCAACCAACCTCTTCTTAACAAGCTTGAAACTGAGGCCAGGCTAACTTAACCTTGTGGTGCTCTTGGGTTGGAGTTTGAATCAACTTAGGCCAATGAGAGTTTTTGCAAAACATTTACACCTCAAAAACATAACAGCTTCCATGTAAAACCAAGTACAATTTATCGATTTCAGCTGTAATTTATTAATTTGTTCCAATGCAAACCTCAGTATAATTCTTAAGGGTGTGAAACCAGAAAAAGGTTCAGATGAACTGTGAATCAGACTTGTGGGTACTTCTCTCATAGTTGACCTCAACAAGATATCACAGGTTAATTTAAACTTCTGATGCAAAAATAAAAGCCTACTGTTGAGAAGGAGGAGAAATTACAGGTATCCCTGAGGAAACATGTATATCACAAAAATATTGTAATTAAAAAGTGTTCTTCTCAATCTCCAGTCATTGTGGCATTTGCCATTTAAACAACTGTTAGTTCTAAATCACACAGTCCACTCTAATGGGGGAATTTAATGGAGGAATGCAATGTCTGACAAAAAGTATTTTAATTGGCTAATAGGAACATGGAATGCTTTAAAGACTTTGATTACATTAGCACCCTAAAGGCCAATTCACTAGTGAAGCTGCCATCAGAACATACAGTGCATATTATATTTATTCATATAACATGTTTAATATGAAAGCATTGTGTACAGGTTGCAAAAGAAGTAATGATAAAAACAGCCAACCACAATGATCAGAAAAGCCAATGGCCCAAGTTACTAATGCTACAAGAAGAGGAAAGAGGAACAGAAGTGTCTCAGAGTGGGCCAACAGGAAGGTCTTAGGTTGATGCGCCGCACTATAAAGAATCACACGACTCCATAAACATAAGGGATCCTGTAATGCACTATAATAATGAATGTAAACATTTTGCAAACTATGCCATACACACAGGATTAAAAAAAAGAAAGACAAATAGGTAGCAATATCCTCTGAAGCTACTGAAGTATTAAATACCTACATACTTTTAATGTAGCAAGTTTTCACATGAAACCTTGAATAAACTTTCCACTAACCACTTGTTTAATAGTATAACAATACAACCCTAAATGCTCTCCCATCTCAAAGGACTATTACTCTTTTACTGAAGGTTCCTACTTCCACAAGCAAATTCTCTTACCAGCTTCCAGCTGCAGTAAGAATTCGACTGGCGAGAACAGTCTCCCATTCTTTGCCTTCCCGATTACACTTTAACCTGCTCAGCTTGGAACATCCCGCAGCGGCCATCTCATTCTCCACCTCAATATACATGGAGGGATCTGAGCTTATCTGAAAAAAGAACATGTTTTTACACAGAATGTAGGTCCAAAGTAGGGCCCAGTGGAAACTTGGAGTCTGATTGAAACAATACAAGTTTGTTTAAAATATCCTCAAAATACTCCATGTTACTTCAAAAGGAAGGAGATTCCAAGAGCTAATCTCCATCAATAATTTGTTTATTTTGAGCCCATCAATTAAAAAAAAAAGGTTTAATAATTTCTGGATACCAAATCTAGTACAAATGGGGCTAATACTGCTATAGTTTGAGAATTCTAGCAATCAAAGCCATACTTCTCTGGTAAAAGCACACAAACAAGGGAGCATGTAGTACAATGAGTCAATGTTATGTTAGACCCTCTAGGTTAGTGGTCACCAACCAGTACATCAGGATCTATTAGTAGATCTTGGAGCCTCTGACAGGTTATCCTGATTAGTTTGGCTGGGAGGCTGTCCAGCGCCAGCACTTCAGCTGTCCCTCCCCGCACTGCAGTGCTGCTCCTTCCCAAAGCCTCAGAGCTGCCCCAGGGAGCCTCCTGCTTGTTGAGCAGGGTGGGGGAGACAGAGGCAGGGGGGCACAGATATCACTCTGTCCTCCTCCCCTGTAGCCCATCTTCACAGATTGAGGAGTGCGGGGCCTTGGCAAAGGGGTGGGGCACAGACAGGGTTTAGGAAAAGGGGCAGGGCAGGGGTATCTGGGTTTGAGATAGATCCTGGATTGACTTAAATTCAAAAAGTGATCTTGTGCTAAAAAAGGTTGGAGACCACCGCTCTAGGTGCTGACCAGTATTCCCTTTCACATTTTCTATCCTTGGGCGGGTTGAAATTTCTCATGTGCAACACCAATATTGAGGTACTGTGTGGATATGCACCACCAACACAAACAAAAAACATACTTAAAAAAAAATAGTCCATAGGTGTGGAAGAAAACATTAAAACAAGGGACAGTTAACAAGGAGCAATGCTTATGATATTTAATATGAAATCAAACAAAGAAAACTAACACTACACCCTTGGAGTACATGTTGTATCATCCTTTCTAACAACTCAAGCTAGTAAACACACCACAATGCATATTATCCACACATAGCTCAGCTTTAAGATGCTAAACAAATCTATGGAGTTAACTAGAAATAGTATTTGCAAGGAGAGCATGACTAATACAATATCGTGACACTGGAAAGGAGAGGGAAAGGCATTCACTCAGGCTTATACAGTTTCTCTGGGGAATGTTTAGGATCCACGCCATAGAAGAACAAGTGAAACAGAGACCCGTATAAACAGATAAAAGTTCTCCTGGTTTGAAACCTTCACCTTGTGTGTGTCACCAACTCAAAGAGTGGAGGCCCCAGAACACATTAACACATGGCGTCAGGGTTTATAGACAGATGCATGTTTCAAAGAGCTTGCAAATAAGGTTTCAGCCTACAAAACAACTAGCATCACACCTAGTACTTGCTACTTCTGACTCATAAGAGCCAGAACCCTACCACATAGCAAAGATCTGGCGTTCATGCAATACAATATACAGTAAACTTCCGATAATCCGGCACCTTTAGGACCCAGGGGGTGCCGGATTATCAGATATGCCCGACTATCAGAAGGGGGGGGCTATGAGGGGTCTGGGGTGGGGTGGGGGGATGCTACCCCAGACCCCCTCATATCCCTCCCTTCTGATAGTCCGGCTCTGCCCCAGGAGTCCCCGATTCAGCCGCTGCTGGTCAGCTTCCGCA